GCTTCGCGATCGTGCGGCGGGCGCCGAAGACGACGGAAGGCCTCGCCGCGAGCGCGACCGACGTCGCCGCGCGGGCCTCCAGGCGGGCGACGTGGGCCTCGTACTCCGCCGCGAGCGCCGCCGCGCAGCGGGCGCAGGTCGTGGCGGTGAGGAAAATCAAAGACGACCGCCTGTTATGGCGGAGGGCCCGGTCGTGGGTGTCCGCCGCGATGGCCCGGGCGTTGACGAAGTCCCGGCTTTGATAACAGCTGAGGGCGAGGTTGAGACGGGCGTGGAGGTAGGCGGTGGTGGCGCCGCGGTTTTCCTCCGCGAGCCGCGCGAGGTCTTCTTCCACGGCCCGGCGCGTATCCGCCGGGTCCTCGAGGTTGATGTAGAAGTCGTAGCCTTTGGGACGCCAGGGGGTGAGGACGGGGACGGAGGGGGGGCACGCCTGGGCCCCTGCTCGATCGCGGATTCGAAAACTACCACAATGGGCCGCTCGGGAGGATAAGGGCCGCGGGGAAAGTAGGGGAACGCGAAAGTAGGCCGATGGCCGCGTCGCTATCATGGAAAGAGGGCGGGATTGGACCGTTCGCATAGTAGGCGGGAGGATTGGACCAAAAGGGAGTTGGGCCTCGTCTCGGATCGTTTCGTTGTGTCCACCGAACTTCGTGTTGGAGCCCGATCAAACACCGGAGAAGAGAGGGAGGTAGAAAATCAAATTCAAACAGTAAAGATCCTCCAATGAACCCATTATCTCCTTTTCGCTGTGTGTTTTATTAGCAAATAAATGTGTGAAGGACAGAATAAATATTAGGACAGGGAGAAGTGCTCTTTTTTTTTTTTAAATGAAAAGTCACCTTCTCTCTATTTACCCTAATATTTACCATTCGTGATAAGCAAACTTATTAATTAATCGTTACAAACATCAATTAAGTTTTGCCCATCCTCTGGTTAATGTCATGGGTGGCAAAAAGTTAAAATTATGCAGGGGCGCCGTATGCTTCGGGGAGTCTTTCGATGGTATAGCGATGCTTAGAGATGTACATAATGGGGACACCCGGTATTTTACGAATTCGCCGCTTCAGCTCCTGATCGCAGGTCGCGACAATATAAACGGGGTGTTGGGTGACCGTGCGCACGACGCAGTCATCCGCGTAGCGTCCTTCACAGGTCAGCCGCTCAAACCGCTTATCGCGCGCGAGTTTTAGGGCGATCCTGAACTTCTTCCCCAACTTCTCCAGCTCGGCGAAGACGCAGTCGCAGATACACGGGATTACCTTGGCCAAGAGGCAATCCATCAGGCCCTGGACAATGTCGATCTTGTTCTGCATCGAGAAGTTGATAAAGTTGGTATCGAGCCATATCCGAAAAGGCGGCCCGAGGGCGTTGTTGTAGGACAGGAAGGAGGCGGTTTGCGCCGGGGCGGCTTGAGTGACCTGCGACTTTTGGAATTCCACAAAGGCGGGGTCCTTTCGGGCCTGTGCCGTGTAGGTCGGTTCAGGCGTGTCGTGGTATCGATCGGCCTCGTGCTTCTTTTTCATCGCCAGGCTCTTTTCCTTCATGAGGATTTTCTTGATGGCGTGGCTCGCCTGCTTCTTGACCTTGCCCATCTCTCCGTAGGAAAACCTATGTACACCCGAACTTTACGTTTACTTAAGTTTTAAAAGGCACGCCCAGCTATCAGTAAATGGCAACGATGCCTAAGAGTCCTAAAAGCCCTAGAAAGCCTAACAAGAAAAAAGGGCTCGGATGATATCCGTTGTTGTTGTTTTCGAAAAGTTGAAAATTCATTGAAACCATTATCGGTAACAGGTAAGCAGACCATCCACGCATTTTCACACCGAGGGATCTGAAGGAAAAAATTATACCCCCATCTAAATACGATCGTTAAATACGCAAAAGAAAAGGTTGAAGAAAAATATTGATCTGAGGCACTTCATTTTGATACGGAACTGCTGGCTTAAGCTCTCATATCTAAAATTTGAAAACGAAAATGTTGTGTGAGCTTTCGGACTGACTCCTTTGCCTTCTCTGGCAGACCTGCATTGGCGTTGAGGCGATCATCTTCTGAAATCCTTTCCCTCGCTATCCGGCGTAGAGAAGGAGGAGGAAATCACGTCTGGTAAAGAGCTCATCGATTCCCTCTCATCGTTAGGGGACATCGAGAAAGCCATCTGCCGGGATGAAGAGCTCAACTGGTTTGAGAAAACCACACCGACCTCCTCTTGCTCGGACGAGGATCCTCCCTCGACTTTCCAGTCCTTTATTTCCCGCGAAGACGGCCGTGGTGGCGGCTCGGGGTTCGCCAGATGAAGTTCGCTGAGCGCTTGGAGAACCTCGAGCGGGACCTCCCACTCCGCCCCCGGACCAGGGGGGAATTCGCCCTCGAGAAGATCCCCCGGGCTCGCCTCGCCGCCGTAAATGGGGACGGCCAACGGGTCGTAGCGGTCTTTGGAGGGGGTCGTGGCGAGCGAGCGATTGGGCGTCTTCCGCTGGCTCGCGCGCGCGGGATCGGAGGGGGGAGGCCGTCCGGGCTCCCGCGGGAATAGCCGCCGGCCCTGAATCGCGTCCCGGACGGGCGGGTTTGGCGAGTTTTCTGGGCCTTGGCCCGGCGGATCGCCCCGGAGCGGGCGGGAGGGCGGGGCGGGGGTGGCGGCGGCCTCGTAGGCCGCCGCGTGCTCCTCCACAAGGGCCTCCGAGGTGAGGTTATACCCGCAGAGAATCGCCCGCGCGCGGGGGTAGACGAAGAAGGGCGCCGCCACGTACACGCAGCGGTGGAGGCCCAGCGGGACGGCGCGCCGGACGGGGTCCGGGATCACCACCCTCCACCCCCGCAGGCCGCCCTCGGCCAACCCCCAAGCCTCCTCCTCCCCCTCTTTTTCCTTTTCTTTTTCCTTTTCGTCCGGGTTAAACTCGGCTCTTCGCGATGGGTGAACCCACACGAGGTCACCGGCGAGGTGGGTCAGGCCAAAGCCCGCCTCGATGGACCGCACGCGGAAGGCGACGTCGACGCCGGCGTCCGCCAAATCCCGCGCGGGGGTGCGAGGGGCCGAGGCGAAGTCGCCCGCCTCGCAGACTTCGGGCGGGCTGCCTTCGCGGGAAAGGGCAGACGCGCAGGCCGTCGATCGAAGAAAAGGGCCGTTTGACGGCCGCTCGTTTGGTGGGGCCTGGGGAATCGCGGGGGGGGAGGCGGGATCGGGCGGCGGATCCGGGCTTTTCGGTCGTCGGGGCTGCTGCTCCCGGCACCATTCGCGCAGGCGCAGCCCATCCAACGACCAGCCGGTGAAGGCCTTCCGCAGGTACTCCACCACCCGCCAGGCGGTGGGGATCTTCAGGAGCTGTCGAAGCGTGCGCTTGTCCAGCTGG